GCTAGGTTGAAGAAGTTCTCTTGAATAATATCCTAAAAAAGAAACCAATTTGGTTTCTTTCTCCCTGTCACTTTCAGGTACACCAATCAAACATCAATTTGGTCTTTTCACATAATCCCCTATTTCTTGGAGGCTTTGTTCATTTCTTTTCCCTCTAATCTTGCATTATCACTTTATTTCATTGAGTTGATCTTCAATCTCTGATATTATAGGAGAAATACCTAACGTAGATGATGGGGTGATGGATGCAGCAAACCACTGTAACACATGTATACCTATGTAACAAACTTGCACATTCCACACAGGTACCCCAGAACTTGAAGTATAATAATTAAAAAAAAAATCCTTCAGTGGCTAGGCTGGGTGCAGTGGCTCATGTGTATAATCCCAGCATATTGGGAGGTGGAGGTGACTGGATTGCCTGAGGTCAGGAGTTTGAGACCAGTCTGGCCAACATGGTGAAACCCTATCTCTGCTAAAAATACAAAAAAAAAAAAAAAAACTAGGTGGGTGTGGTGTCGTGCACCTGTAATCCCAGCTATTCAGGAAGATGAGGCAGGAGAACTGCTTAAAGCAGGGAGGTGGAAGTTGCAGTGAGCTGAGATAGCATTACTGCACTCCAGCCTAGGTGACAAAGTAAGACTCCGTCTCGAAAAACAAACAAACAAACAAAAATCCTTCAATGGCTAATCAGAGCTTTCAGAATAAAACTAAAAAAAAAAAAGAAAGATCATTCATCATGCTGAAGTGGGATTTATCCCTGAGATTCAAGGATCGTTTAACATATGCAAATCAATCACTGTAATACATCCTATCAACAGAACGAAGGGGAAAAATCATATAATTTCAAAGCATTTGATAAAATCCAACATTACTTTGGCTAAAAGCCATTAAAAAGCTGGGGATAGACTAATACAACTGAGTTGAAATATAGAAACCATATATGACAGATCCACAGCAAATATCATAATTAATGGGGAAAAACTGAAAGCCCTTCCTCTGAGATCTGGAAGAAGACCAGTATGCCCACTGTAATCAGTGCTACTCAACATAGTATTGGATGATCTAGATAGAACAATCAGACAGGCGAAAGATAAAAAGAAAACCCAAATTGAAACAGAAGTAGTAAAATTATCCTTATTTGCATATGATATAATATTATATCTGGAAAAATGTAAAGACTCCACAAGAAAACTATTAGAACTGATAAATTCAGAAAGGTACAGGATACAAAATCAACATACAAAAATCAGTACCATTTTTATTTGCCAACAGTGAACAATCTGAAAAAGAAAAAAAATATAATCCCATTTGCAACAGGCACACATAAAAGTAAAATATCTAGGAATTAATTTAACCAAAGAGCAAAAGATCTTAATGAAAGATCAATGAAAACTATAATACACGAATGAAAGAAACTAAAGAGATCAAAAAATAAAAAGAGATTCTATGTTCATGGATTAGAGGAATAAATACTGTTAAAATGCTCATAGTACCCAAAGCAATTTATAGATTCAATACAATCCCTATCAAAATACTAATGGCACTCTACACAGAAATGGAAACAATTATCCTAAAATTTATATGGAACCACAAAAGACCCAGAATAGCCAAAGCTATCCTAAGAAAAAGAGCAAAACTGTAATGAATCATATTACCTGACTTCAAATTATATTACAAAGCTATAATAACCAAAACATCATGGTACTGGCATAAAAACAATCACATAGACTAATGGAACAAAATAGAGATCCCAAAAACAAATCCACATACCTACAATGAACTCTTTTTCAACAATTATGTCAAAAACATATACTAGGAAAAAGTCTCTCTTCAATGTATGGTGCTGAGAAAACTAAATATCCATATGCTAAAAAATGAAACTAGATCCCTATCTCTTACCATATAAAAACAAATAAAAATGCATTAAAAATTAAATGTAAGACCTCAAACTATGAAACTACAAGAAAACATTGGGGAAACTCTCCAGGACATTGATCTGGGCAATAATTTCTTGAGTAACACTCCACAAGCATAGGTAACCAAAGCAAAAATGAACAAATAGGAATGTATCACATTAAAAGTCTTTTGCACAGCAAAGATCAATCAACAGAGTGAAGAAATAACCCACAGAATGGGAGAAAGTATTTGCAGGATGCCCATCTGACCAGAATATTTAAGGAGCTCAAATAACTTTATAGGAAAAAAAATCTAATAATCCAATTTAAAAATAGATGAGAGATTTCAATTTACATTTCCTACAATTCCTAGGTATTTTACTTTTATGTGTGGCTATTGCCAATGGGATTAAATTTTATTTCTTTTTCAGATTGTTCACTGTTGGCAAATAAAAATGGTACTGATTTTTGTATTTTGATTTTATATCCCGTAAGAAATGCAAAAGATTTGCCTTTCTAAAAAAAGACATGCAAATGGTGAGTAGGCATATGAAAAAGTGCTCAACATAATTAACCATCAGATAAATGAAAATCAAAACTACAATATCATCTTATCCCAAGTAAAATGGCTTTTATCCAAAGGACAAGTAATAACAACTGTAGTGAGGATGTGAAGAAAATGGAACACTGTATATTGCTAAGGCAGGAAAATCACTTGAACCAGGGAGCTGGAGGTTGCAGTGAGCTGAAATCATGCCACTGCACTGCACTCCAGCCTAGGCAACAGAGAGAGACTCTGTCTCAAAAAAAAGCCCATTGAGTCATAGAATTAAATAATTATCTTGAATTTGAATTTATTGAACGATTTGAATTTATTGAACTTGAAAAGTTTAATCAAATCAAGCTTAATGATTTGTTGTGATCTTTACATGTCATTGTTAACAACTTAACAAGTATTGTCTATCCTTCATTATTACTATCCAATTATTAAATCTTACTCACGAAACAAATAGTATATTCAGTTCTCAATAGATGATAAATTGCTTTTGAAAAAGAACAGTATGTTAGAAGATGAATATTCCATAAGACTTAGTAAAAGGTTAGAGATAGAAGAATGTAGTAATGCTCTGATTTTAAAGAGTAAGTCAATTTTCATTATTTTAATGTAAATTTTTAATTAAAATTAGTATATTGTATTTTCAAAGGAACCCAGAAAAATATCTACTAAAAGACTGATATTTAAAATTGGTGAAGGCTTATAGGGAAAAAAAATTGCAACAAGATAAAAAGATAATTCATTATGCATACCAATGCTTATATACAGTGTTTTCTTATGTAGATTTTTAATGAACAGCATAGGAAAGGGTTCCTTTTTGATTCTTCTAACATTTTTCTCAGAAATGCATTACAAATGGCAGATAAATCTGATGGAGATTATCTGTTACATATAAATTTTTAATTCAACTATGATAACCAAGAATTAAATAATATTCTAACATACCCAAAGATTCAATGGCATTTGAAAAGGCAATTATTATATTTGTTGGCTGCATAAATGTCTTCTTTTGAAAAATGCCTGTTCATATCCTTTGCCTACTTTTTGATGTTTTTTTTTTTTCTTATAAATTTGTTTAAGTTCTCTGTAGATTCTGGATATTTAGCCCTTTGTCAGATGAACAGCTTGCAAAATTTTTTCCCATTCTGTTGGTTGCCAGTTCACTCTAATGATTGTTTCTTTTCCTGTGCAAAAGCTCTGGAGTTTAATTAGATCCCATTTGTCTATTTTGGCTTTTGTTGCCATTGCTTTTGGTGTTTTAGTGCTTGCCTATGCCCATGTCCTGAATGGTATTGCCTAAGTTTTCTTCTAGGGATTTTATGGTGTTAGGTCTTACGTTTAAATCTTTAATCCATCTGGAGTTAATTTTTGTATAAGGAGTAAGGAATGGGTCCAGTTTCAGCTCTCTGCATATGGCTAGCCAGTTTTCCCAACACCATTTATTAAACAGGGAATCCTTTCCCCATTGTTTGTTTTTGTCAGATTTGTCAAAGATCAGATGGTTGTAGATGTGTGACATTACTTCCAAGGCCTCTGTTCTGTTCCAATGGTCTGTGCCTCTGTTCTGTTCCAACGGTCTGTATCTCTGTTGTGGTACCAGCACCATGCTGTTTTGATTACTGCTGTCTTATAGTATAGTTTGAAGTCAGATAGCGTGATGCCTCCAGCTTTATCATCACTGGTCTTTAGAGAAATGTAAATCAAAATAACATTGAGATACCATCTTATGCCAGTTAGAATGGCGATCATTAAAAAATTGGTCAACAACAGATGCTGGAAAGGATATGGAGAAATAGGAATGATTTTACACTGTTGGTGGGAGTGTAAATTAGTGCAACCATTGTTGAAGACAGTGTCACGGTTCCTCATGGATGTAGAAATAGAAATGCCATTTGACCCAGCAATCCCATTACTGGGTAAATACCCAAAAGATTACAAATTGTTTTATTATGAAGATATATGCATACCTATGTTCATTGCAGCACTGTTTACAATAGCAGATGGTTGGAACCAACCCACATGCCCATCAAGGATAGAATGGATAATGAAAATGTGGCACATATACACCATGGAATACTATGCAGCCATAAAAAGGATGAGTTCATGTCCTTTGCAGGGACATGGATGAATCTGGAAACCATCATTCTCAGCAAACTGACACAAGAACAGAAAACAAGACACCACATGTTCTTATTCATAAGTGGGTGTTGAACAATTAGAACACATCAACCACAGGGAGGGGAACATGACACACTGGGGTCTGTTGGAGGGTGGGGGACTAGGGGAGTGATAGCAGTGGGTGGCAAGGTTGGGGAGGGATAACATTAGGAGAAATATCTAATGTAGGTGAAGGGGTGACAGAGGCAGCAAACCACCATGGCATGTGTATACCTATGTAACAATCCTGCAAGATCTGCACATGTACCCCAGAACTTAAAGTATAATTAAAAAACAAAAAACAAAAAAAAAAGAAAGAAAAAGCAATTCTTCCCCAACCCTGACCAAGATGCTAAGTCTTTGTGAAGGTGAAAAATGCCATACTATACCTTGATTTCTTCTATTTCGTCTGGTACTATCTTGTATGCTGATATAGTCCCACCCAACCTGAAATTAGGAGAAGAAAATATTCTCAAAACCAGCAATAGTGTTTAAAAAATACGGAAGATTTCTGCCATTACCATCAGAATGCTACCAGTAATTCCCAGTTTTCACCCCAACAACCATGGAGGAAAAACAACCATTTTGTGCATACGTTTTCCATTTATTAGTTTAAAAGAGGTAGATAATGAATGACTACTGAAAATGTTAAGTTAGATTTTTACCCATAACTACACTCCTCATATTGATGTTATTAATAATGCTGAAACTGCCACTTTTACCGCTGTATTCTGTCACATCTAACATGCATGAGGAACTGATGGCAAACATGATGTTTGCTTTTTTAAAAAAAAAAAAGAAATCATAGCTTTTACTTCTTAAGAGTAGTTTTAGGTTTACAAAAAAAATTGAGCAGAAATTAGAGCATTCACATATTCCCTCCCTTCCTTCCCCACAACCCTGTTTTCCTGATACTAACATCTTGCATTAGTGTGGTACATTTGCAACAACTGTTGAAACAACATTGACTTTGCTTCTTTTTTAAAGTAATTTGAACAGGGAGTCAGAGAGATGTGTGTGCCCAGCACTGTCCAGGGGGAAGAGATGAGAATTTGGGAATTACAGATAATTTAATCCTTAAAATGTTCTTTGCTTTGAGACAGTGATGCCATTATATGTCATATTCACCAATTTGAAATATTAGAAAGCAACTAAGCTTTATATAAAATCATGGTTGAGGTATGTATCATGTATATTATCTGATTTAATCCTTGCAATTATCTCTATTATAAAAATTGGGAAACTGAGACACAGAGACATTGAGCAATTCTTAAGCAACTGAGAAACTAGCTAATGAATGAGTTGAGATGTGCGTCAGTGTAAAGTACACACCAGATTTTGAATTCTTAGTATTAAAAAAAGAATAATTTCAATGTATTGAGCACATGTTAAAATAACATTTTAGATATACTGGGTTACATATATTTATTAAAATTAATTTTATCTGCTTATTTTTACTTTTTAAGATGTGGCTACTTAGAAACTTTAAAATTACATACAGGGTATTTGTGGGTCCCATCACATCTCTATCAGGTACTCTAGGCTATTAAACTCCAAATTACTTAACTGCTTTTGTTCCAATTCAGTGCTTGCAAAGGAACCTTCTGAATACTTATTTGAGCTTATAAGTACACCTCGGTAACAGAAAAAGGAGTATCATACATAAGAGACTTATGTTTTCTAGATCCTTTAGGATATCTCCTCTCCCAAATGTAAAATAATAAATACCATTCTGGTTTCTATTTAAAAATAAAATCCAACCGAATGATTTTTATTATGTATGCATTAAGCCTCTTTAATATTTATTACCATTTATTCTTACTAATGAAACTAGTGTTCAAATATTGATTTGAGAATTATTTCTTAGATTTTATTTAATAAATAAAATAGAATTTATTTATTTTATTTTTTCCCCTGCTTCCCGAGAATTATTTCTTAGACTTAAAATACCATGATTGAATGGTGGAAACAAATAAATTTTAACTTAATTGACTTTATATAAGGTATACCAGTAATGTAGTAAACAAGATCATTCTAAGATAGCTCGAGTGGCTAAAAAATAGAATAAACTTGGAGGGCTTCCATATTATGCTAAACATAGAAATGAGAAAGGAGATAAAAGTTGATATAAACACCAGAAAAAAAAATCCCAGAAACTAGAAATAATCTAGAAAAAAACTAAAAGAAACAATGGAGTCATCTACATTACTAAAAACACCTGTTCACTAATAAACCTACTTCAGCTCAACATTTCTTTCTACTACCTGACTATAACCAAAATAATAACTTTACCAACTAGTAGTTTTGACCTCTGAACTGGTTTCTGAAAATGACATTTCTGCTTTCATGACTTCATTAAACACAGATAGTTTAATATGCTATCAGTATTTCAGTTACTGCACTCAGGCCTAGATAATAACTCACTCCAAATTTCCTGTTCTATTACATTACACTGTCCTTCTCATTGTTGAAGAAAGAATTCGCTCTGGGGTAAAACATAGTTCTATTTTACTACAGTCAATTTGTAAAAATAGTATTACATTGGCAGTGATAGTGGTAGTAATAGTTGAAATACTACTACAAGTATTTAGCACTTACTATGTGCCAGGCATTATGTTATACTTTACATGTATTTTCTCATTTAATTCTTATAACCTACACAAATGATTATGAAAAAAATCAGACAAGTAATTTTTCAAAAATTCCACAATTAGGAGTGGCAGAGCTGGGCTTAATAATGCAGTTCTACAAATTGACAAGAGGATTCTAAAATTGATATGGAAATTCGAGGGACACAGAATAGTTACAAACTTCAAAAGAATAAAGTTGAAGGAGTCTCACTTCCTGATTTAAAGTTACTACAAAGCTTATAGCAATCAAGACAATGTAGTACTCACATAGGGTAGACATATAAAATAGAATACAATAAAGTCCAGAAATAAATTTCACATTCACAGATAACTACTTTGGTTTTCCTTTTAATCTTGTTATTGCAAACTATATTTAACAAACTTGCATTCTGACCATTTTAAAGTATGCAATTCAGTGGCATTAAATACATTCACAATATTGTGTATCGTTACTATTTCCAAAACATTTGCATCACTCAAAACAGAAACTGTAAACATTACGCAGTAATTCTCCATTTACCTCTCACCTCAGCTCCTGGTAACCTGTAATCTACTTTCTGCTTCTGTGAATATGTCTGTTCTAGAGATATTACGTAAGTGGAATCATACAATATTTGTCCTCTTGTGTCTGGCTTATATCACTCAGCATTAAGTTTTCAAAATTATTTCATGTTGTAACATATAGCAGAACTTTATTCCCTTTTATGGCTGAATAATACTTCAATACATATGCATACCACATTTTATTTATTCATTCATCTGTTGATAGATGTTTGAATTGTTTCCATCTTTTGGCTAGTGTGAACAATGTTATGTTGAACACTGGCATTTAAGTGTCTGTTTGAGTCCCTCTTTTTAATTTTTTTAGGTATATACCTAGGAGGTAGAATTGCTTGGTCATTCTATGCCTAGCTTTCTGAGTAACCACCAAGCTGTTTTTTACAGTGGCTGTATTATATATTTCCTTGAGCAATACATGAGGGTCTAATTTCTCCACATCCTTGTCAAAATTGTTATTTTCATTATTTTTTAATGATCATCCTAGTGGGTGTGACATAGCCTCTCACTGTAGCTTGAATTTGCATTTCTCTACTGACTAGTGATGCTGAGGATCTTTTTATGTCTTATTGGCCATTTGTATATATATGGAGAAAATCAAGTCCTCTGCCCATTTAAAATTAGGTTGTTTTTTGTAGTTGCTGAGTTGTACAAGTTATTTACATATTCTGGATTTTAAACCCTTATCAGATATATGGTTTTAAAATATTTTCCCATTCTATAGATTGTCTTTTCACTTTCTTACGTTGTCTGGTGCACAAAACTTAAATTTTGATGAAGTCTAATTCATCTATTTTTTTCTTCTGTTGCTTACATTATTGTGGTCATATATAAAAATCCACTGCCAAACCCAAGGCAATGAAGATTTATCCCTGTTTTCTTCAGAGAGTTATGGTTTTAGCTCTTGTATTTAGGTCACTAATCCATTTTGAGTTCATTTTTCTATATGGTGTGAGGTATGGGTCATTTATTTTGCATGTGAAAAACTGGCTGTTGAGGAAACTCCTTTCTCAAAGCCACTGTCGAGGCTTTGACTTGGCACCCTTGTCAAAAATCAATTGGTCATAGATGCATGGGTTCATTTCTATATCTTCAGTTCTATTCCATTGGTCTACAGGTGTACTTCTTGTTTTAGGTTTCGTTTTTTGAGATGGAGTCTCACTCTGTCACCCAGACTGAAATGCAGTGGTGTGATCTTGGCTCACTGAAACCTCAGCCTCCTGGGTTCAAGTGATTCTCCTGTCTCAGCCTCCTGTGTAGCTGAGACTACAAGCGTGTGCCACCACTCCTGGATATTCTTTTTCTGTGTGTATTTTTAGTAGAGACAGGGATTCACCATGTTAGCCAGGATAGTCTCAATCACTTGACCTTGTGATCTGCCCACCTTGGCCTTTCAAAGTGCTGGGATTACAGGTGTGAGCCACTGTGCCCAGTCTGCAGGTATAGTTTTATGTCAATACCACACTGTCTTGATTACTCTAAGCGTGGTAGTAAATTTTGAAGTTAGGAAGTGTGAGTCTTCCAATATTGTTCTTTTTCAAGACTGTCTTGACTACTTGGGACCCCTTGAAATGTCATATAAATTTTAGGTTTGGCTTATTTCAGCAAAAAAAAATGACAACTAGAATATAGGAATTATATTGAATCTGTAGATAACTTTGGGTAGTACTGACATTTTAAAAAATATTAACTCTTTTATTCCATAAACATGGGATGTTTTTCCACTTATTTAGGTCTTGTTTAATTTCCTTCAGCAGTATTTTATAATTTTCAATGTCTTTCATCTCCTTAGTTAAATTTATTCCTAGGAGTTTTCAGATTTGATTTTAAATGAAATTATTTTTATTTCCTTTTTGGATTGTTTATTGCTGGTATATAGAAACACAAATTATTTTTGTGTGGTCAGCTTGTATCCTGCAATTTTGCTGAACTCATTCATTGACTCTAATAGCATTCTTATGAATTAAGGAAAGTTTTATATGTAGCAACATGTTACCTGTGAACAGACATAGTTTTACTTCTTCCTTTTCAGTGTAGATGACATTTTTTCTTTGCCCACCTGTTCTGGCTAGAACTTGCAGTACAATGGTGAACAGCAGTAGTGAAAACAGGAATATCTGCCTTGTTCCTGATATAAAAAGAAAACCTTTAGTTTTTCATCACTGAGTATAATGATGTTAGCTGCGGGTTTTTCGTAGATGCCCTTTTATCATGTTAAGGAAATTCCCTTCTTTTCTTGGTGTTCTGCATGTTTTTACC